TTTGTTCAGATTTATTATTAACTCATTTTTTATTTTTTTTTGAGTTTCCTCCCTTTCTATTGCAAAGGCCTCATATCATGTGACATTTAGTTGCGTAACCACTATATGTGACGCGTTTTTTACTTTTAATGAATACAAATTTACTCTTTTCTCTAGCGATTACTACTATAATGTCCAATATATTTAAAAAGGACGGGTTCGATTACTTTACTCAAACTTTTGTAGGCGATTGGAATCCATTAGATTATCATATTTTTTGGAAAAACACCTTATCAGTTGAACTAGATAAAGCAACGGTAACAAGGGCTTTTAATGAACAAGTCGAATGGTTTATAGCAAACGGCGTCGAGAACGAGCAGGAGAAGGCGAAATATCTAAAGGAACAATTTCACGTAAGAATATATTGGTTGTAGGGACCCGTGGGACTACGTCTCCTGCACGGTACTCCTGCTACAGGCCAATCGTGCTCGTTTAGAATTTGTAGGGACCCGTGGGACTACGTCTCCTGCACGGCACTCCTGCTACAATCTTGCGGTCACATTCGCAATTATATATTAATTCTAACTATTTTCCTAGTTTGAATCACAGAAAGGTGGTCGAGTATATCTTTTCTGGGAAGAGGAAATGCACGCCAAAAAACTTGACATAATTGAAAAAAACGCTTCTATCAAGATCCGAAGCTTTCAAGTGAGATAAAATAAAATATTATGGAGTTTACGATGTATAATCATGTATTTCTTACTTTTTTTAATATAGGCACAGCATCATTTTTCTGTTGCAAACCGTATACTTACCGGGGGAAATAACATATCAGAACCAAATCCTCCTATTAATATAAGCTTTATAAAATAAACAAAAGAATGAATTTTTTTTAATTGCGCTCTAAAAAAACAACGGTTAATTTTTAATTTTTGTTTTTAAACAAAGGGGTCGGAGAGCGAAAAGGTCGGTAATGGCTAAATCATTTTTTTCGTATAATAGTTAATCTTCTCTTTTGCCTTTTAAATTTCAAATAGATAAGATTCGATGACAATGTTGCTAATACTTCTTCCAAAGGCACTAGCTCAGATAGGGTCGATTCCACTGAAAGACTTCGGGCGAACGAAAAGTCAGTTTATGAAAATAACTTGAAAAGAAAAAGGGACGATGATGAGTCGGATTATCAAGGGTTGACGTTATTATTTGATGAGTCAAGTGAAGACGCTCTTATAGAAAGTATAGACGAAAAATTACTTGAACAAGAGAACAAATTGCCACGGGCAAGTGGTAATAGCTCCTCAAAGGTAAAACTTAGCATTAACAGTTGAGAACATTATATTAGTAAGCTCATTTATTATTCTAAATAGGTTCGACAAAAAATTATGGATGCGAACATCATTGAAGCCTTTCAGAAATATGAAAATAAAATTCCAAAAGCCCGTAGGATTTTCACGTAAGTTTGATATCTTTTTATCATTATTTTAGTACTGTAATTGTCCAATAATTGAATATTCTATATAATTTCCATCCAATAGACCTGCATATTGGGGAGTTATGGATTTAACCAGAGAAAGTTTATTTGACTGTAAACAGCTAACAGAAGAGGATATAATGCAAGTGTCGCAAGAATTCGCCGATAAAATTTCCTGGAAAACAATACCACCAGAAAAGAATATACAAGAATATTTTGATAATAATTGTGAGAAAAAGATGATTGACAATCATGATATTAAAAAACTAGATGTAAACATCCAGTTTATGTATGTATATGTTTTTTTGATTATGTCTTATTATCTGGTCATAGCATTTGACTCTGGATTGTTGTACAGGAAAAGCGATGTACATAGTTTCCAAGGAATGATGACGGAGGAAGAGCTAAAAATGAGCTCTACGTTTCCGCTTTTTCGTGGGGTATTTAATTCCGATAAGATTAAGAATGCTTGGTAGGTCATTTATTTGGGCAGGTTTCAATTATTCAGAATTAATAATACTATACTGTATGTAAGGGGAGAAATTCAAGCTTTATCTACAAATGACGCGCGTAACGAAGGGGGAAATCCGTTTAAAAAAGCACGAATAGGAAGACGTGTTGATATGAAAAGTACTCTCATCAAAACATCTAATAAATTCGAAGTAATTTATGGAGAGGTTGCTGGGGGTTTGGGCCCGTTTGGATTGCCCACTGCATGTCGTAGAAAGCGTTATCTTGATAAGGTAAAACTTATGATAATAATGCGGGACAGTATAAACAGACTGCTAAAAGAATGTAAATACGTATCAAATGAGGAACGTATGAATTTAATTGTATATGGGTGGCTCCAAATAGGTAAGTTTTCCTGCACCATTGCACTTATGTAAGTTTAATTCGCTAATAAACTTCATTTTATGGATAGGTCTAGAAGTGAACTTCTATGCCATGGACTGGTTAGGAGCCGGCATATACAGATTTGGCTTAGTTGATCGATGTAGATTACCATCAGATGAGGATGAATTTGGGATGCTTGAAGATTCGTATTGCATCCTCAAGTTACTTGAGGTAAGTAATTTCTATGTTAATGATACTACCACAAATAAATGTTTAACTTATTGTCAAATATAGAATAAAGTGCTTGAGATTGAGAAAGTAGTTAAAAAATTACTTTTAGAAAACACAAAGGGGAAACGAAGGCAAACTACATCCAGAACTGAAGCGGAATTGAATGAAAACCGCACCCCCCAAAAAATAAAACCAAATCTATACAAATTGGGAAATGTATGGTAGCGAATTCTTAGGCTTATATTATTTTTTTTTTGCGAGTCCAGACCAAATCAAAGTCAATAGCGATTAATTATATTCCCTTCAGTGGTTAACTGCATGTGCAATATATTTTTCATCATTAGTATTAATAAAACTTCGCTATGTAATGTTTATCTCTTTTAGCTGTGATCTCAAATTTTTTTCTTAACCGCGAAACTTCAGTCATTGTCCATTTTTATTAAATACAATATTAATGATCATAAGCATTTAAAGTTTTGAGTTTATTCAATGAGACCCAGTTCCCGAAGATGCTCCGGAATAACTACATATGGGTCTTCGTAATACCAAACATATCTTAGGGCGATCCAATTTTCTTCGCATAATTCTTTCTTGAGCTGATCCCGTGCTTGCTGTTTGATAAAATTATTGGGATCTCCTCCATGAAAGAATTCATGATATTTTTCGTGCTGTATGCCTTGTACTTCGATTGCAAATCCATATTGCGGATAAAATATATCAAGTTCTAGTCCATTTGGATATTCTTGTGTTTTTAAGAATTTAGGCCTGCGGATTCGTGAAGGGACGCCAAGATATCTTGTTAAAATCTCATGACATAACTTTTCTCTCTTATATTTTGGGCAGAATGGACACCAAGTTCCTTGTTGAATACTATTAGGAATAGCTTCCCATTGATGTTTATTCTCACAAATCCATTCTAGCTTGGTACGTGAGTTATAGTATTGATCTGAAAGGCAATCTCCATTTTTTACTTGTGCAAGTTTACGCATATCCTCAATTGTTTGGTAACGACCAATGCAAAATGGGCACCATTGCTCTCTATTTTTAATGTGGTAAAGTGTATTTTGCCATTTATGGTTAAATTGGCAATGCCATGTAAGCAGTTCGTCTATATTTTTATACTCAGTTGAAAGACATTCCCCTCCCCTAGATAGTGCAATTTGCTTTGCATCTTCAAGGGCTAGTTTTGCAATACCCGCGCAATATGGGCACCATGTACCAGAATTTTTAATATGTTTAAACGAACTATTCCAAATATGACCTTGATGGCATTTCCATGTCATCGGAGTTTGGAATTACTATATACAGTTGAAAGACACTTACCATTTCGGCTAAGTGCAATTTGCTTGGCATCTTCAAGAGTAAGACGGGCATTTCCTGCACAATATGGGCACCATTTACCATGATCTTTTACATTGCTAAGAGATGCATACCACAAATGACCTTTAATGCAATTCCATAGTAATGGCAATCGATTATTAATGTACTTTTCTGAAAGACATTGACTACTTTTTAATAACGCAATTTGTTTAGCAACCTCAAGAGTAAGTTTTACTTTACCTGCACATTGCGGACACCATTGTCCTAAATTTTTAATTCTAGAAAGTGGGGCATTCCATACATGGTTCTTAGAACAGCGCCACATTAATGGAGTTCTGTTATTTTTATATTCAGTTGAAAGGCACATCCCACCACGTTCTTTAGCAACTATATATGCATCATTGATAGCTTCTTCATTGTTTTTTAACCGTAGCTGAATTTCTTTTCGCAGATCTAATGGAGTATCGAATCTTAATCTAATTGCATGTGGATCATCTTCTGGTTTGTTCAAATCAAACACAATAAACTCTCCTTTGCGAAGGTATTTGTTAATAACCATTGAAGCATTTTTGACATCATCAGTATATTGCCAAAGAATTTTAGAAATTTCTACACACGAACTAAATAATACTAGATGGGTAATATTTTCACGAATAAATATAGGGACTTTGTGGTATTTTTGTGTTACGTATATGCTTGAAACATTTCGATGATGCCCATTCCCAAAAAATTGGCCAATTCGATTTTGTATATGCTCTGGAGTTAAGCATACATCCTCAAAAATAATTAATGTACTTCTCTTAGGTGAGAATGCTCTTGTACTAGGAATTTTTTCAGGTGGTATATAGCTGAAACTAATATCCTCATAGTAAGGCGCTCTTGGGTCTTTTGAAATCATATTATATATATCTAACATATGCCCATTTTGGATCGGCTGGTCTTAGAAATTTCGGTCACATGATTTTTTCTTACCTGAGGTAAACGAAATTTCTGAGCGAATAGTCCAAAATTTCCGAGACGGCCCATTCTGAGCCATGGAAAACCCCAATCCCAGTAGTCTTTCATAACTTCCGAGGGTATGACTCTTACTTGGTCTGTGAATCTGTTGGAAAATCTGTCAATGCGTATCAGATCTGGGTTATAGCTGAAACATTTGAGCGATATAAGTCAATGAAGGTAGGCCAGCTCAAATATATAGATAGCATGCAGTTCATGAATACTAGTCTGGCCAATCTTACGAAAAATTTGGGTGATAACCATCCATTAACTAATAAGTATTTCAAAGATCAAGGCTATTCAGATGAGAAAATTCACCTAGTATGTCGCAAGGGGGTTTATCCCTATGAGTATATCGATTCTCATGATAGGTTTAAGGAAATAGAGCTACCACCAATTCATGAATTTCATGGTGTTCTAAGTGGTAAGATCTCACAAGATGACTATCACTATGCCCAAAAAGTATGGAATGTATTTGGATGTAAAAATCTAGGCGAATATCATGATCTCTACCTTAAGACCGATATACTCAACCTTGCTGATGTCTGAACTAAATTCTGGGAGACATCTATGAGATATTATGAGCTTGATCCCAGCCATTATGTATCTGCACTATCCTTATCCTGGGATGCAATGCTTAAGATGACAGGGGTTAAGATTGAGCTATTCATAGAAATGGCTATGCATGACTTTGTAGAAAAGGCCAAGTGTAATGGAATAGCTATGGCTATGCATCGATATTTCAAAGCCAATAATCTGAAGATGGAAGAGGCTTTTGATCTATTCCAACCCACGACTTGGGTCTCATATGTCGATGCGAATAATCTTTACGGATAGGCTATGAGTCAGTTCTTGCTTATAGGAAATTATAAGTGGGTTGCTAGTCAGGAGTACTTAAAGAAGAATCCTGCTATGCAAAAGAAATACCTCGAAA